CATTCCCCTTCAAGGCAATCGTTTCACCTGGTCGGACCACTCTTCCCAACCATCTCTTTCAAAACTGGATAGATTCCTACTATCCTCAAGTTGGGAAGATGAATTTCCAGGTTTGTGTGCACTGGCTCTACTGAAACCTACCTCTAACCATTGCCCTATCCTCTTGGATACTCCGGTTGTCCAAAGAGGACAGAAACCCTTTCGGTTCGAATTAGCTTGGCTTGAAGAAGACTCACTATCCTCTCTCATTCCAACATGGTGCAACCCTTTTTGCCCCTGGTTTCGAGTGGAGCAGGCTATAGGCTTCAAACTAAGATTCAACTCCTCAAAGCCTCTCTCAAAACCTGGAGTAATTCCATCCTTGTGAATTACTCTCAAATCAAGTCCTCCCAGCTAAATACCATTCAAGACCTAGATCGAAAAAGGGAATCCCAGCCTCTATTAGCTTCCAAATCCAACCTCAGGACCCAAACCAAGATGGAATATTTTTCCACCCTTAAAAAGGTAGAATTGTATTGGTTTCAGAGATCCAAAGTCAACTGGCTTAAAGTAGGGGACCACAACCCAGGTTTCATCCACCGGATACCCAATTGTCGCAAAAGAGACAATTCTATCTCTATTATCAGGGTTGGCAATCGCAAACTTGACCAACCAGCAAAGATCGAATCAGTCGTCCTAGATTTCTTTCAGGATCACTACTCAGCCCCTTCGGGCCTCAGACTTAGAATGGCCAATCGGGATTTCTTAACTCTTTTGGATCATTGGTCACAATGGCTGGAGCGTCCCTTCTCTGAAACTGAGATTTTGGAGGCTATCAATGACTTGGCCAAAGACAAGGCCCCTGGCCCTAATGGATTTCCCCAAGCCCCTTTCAAGACGTTTGGGATACTTTCAAAACAGACTTTAAGAGTTTCTTCGATGAATTCTTCCAACGTGGAATCCTCCACAAAGCCATCAATGCCACTTTCATCACTCTTGTCCCCAAGACTAAAAGGGTAGAGGAACTCAAGGACTTTCATCCAATCAGTCTGGTCAATTCCTCCTACAAGATCTTGGCCAAGGTTTTGACATCAACGCTGAAACAAGTCCTCCCCCTCATCATCTCCCCCTCATAGTCTGCGTTCATAAAGGATAGGAAAATTCTAAATGGGGCCTTAGGGGTTCATGATGTCTGCATTCTAGACACCTTTCCAAAAAACCCGGCCTAATATTCAAGATAGACTAGAAGAAGGTGTACGACCACATTGACTGGTTAATACTGGATGAAACCATGTCAAGAATGGGGTTTGGGGACCTTTGGAGGAAGTGGATGAGGGCCTGCTACTCCAATCCTCACTTCTTTGTCCTTATCAACAGGGCTCCGAAGGGTTTTTTCCCTTCCCTGAGGGGCTCCGCCAGGGGAACCCCCTCTCCCCATTCCTCTTTGTCATCGCAGCCGAAGTTTTCAGTCACTCCATCAGTCGACTATACCAAAAAGGCCTTCTCACTGGTTTCAAATGTAGTTCTCAAGGCCCAATCGTGTCTCACCTGCAGTACGCAGATGACACATTAGTGTTCCTCAACGCTACACCAGACGAAATAGAAAACCTAAGACTTTTCCTAAAATGTTTTGAGCTAACAACGGGCTTCAAAGTCAATATGGAAAAATTGAAGATGATGGGGGTTGCCCTCTCAAACATTGAAACCCGAGCTTTTATTCCGAATTGGGAATGCAAAGTGGAGGACTTTCCCACCACCAACCTTGGCCTACCCCTGGACTTGGAAAAACCAAAAAAGAGACAGTGGTCTCACGTGATTGACAAAGTAGACAGCCGTTTGGCAAGATGGAAAGGGAGGTACCTATCCTTTGCAGGTCGGACCACGTTAATCAAAGCAACCCTAGCAAACTCTCTTGTCTATCTAATGTCCTTATTCCACATGCCTGTCTCGGTGGCCAATCGTCTTGATCAACTGATGAGAAATTTTCTTTGGTCAGGACAAGTTGAGAAAAATAAATTTCACCTCATCTCTTGGGACAAGGTCTGCCTTCCTAAACTTCAGAGAGGTCTGGGGATCAGGATCCTCAGAAAACATAACCTAGCACTCCTACATAAATGGTGGTTGAGATTAGCCACTCAAAATGACTCTCTTTGAGCACAGGTCCTTCGCAGCAAATATAGAATCTCGGAAGACGATTGGGTGCCCGAGCGGAGATCTACGAATAAGGCCTCAGGAGCATGGAAGTCATTCTTGTCTTCCCTCTCTTTGTTCAAGCAATTCATCCGCCTCCATCCTAGAGAAGGTACAAGAGGAAGTTTCTGGTCAGACCTTTGGCTAGGCCACACTCCACTAAGGGACCTCTTTCCCTCGCTTTACTCTCTTGCCTCCAATAAAGCCTCCACCATCGCAGAGGAAATGGTCGTCTCTGGGGATTGCAGAGTCTAGAATCCTTCTTTCAAACGACATCGAACAGAGGAGGAAACAGGCCAATTCATAGCCCTCTCGGCTTCTCTTCATTCCAACTTCATAGCTCTCTCATGAAGGGATACTCTCGTGTGGACTCTCCCCCCTTCTAGCTCATTTTCGATGGCCTCCTTCTATAAAAAACTTATTCAGCCACCCACATTCCCACTCAAACCTGTCAATCCTTTCAAAGGTCTGGTCCACCATCGCTCCGCCTAAAGTGCAGGCATTCAATTGGATTGCTTGCCCCTAAAGAGCTCTCACAATAGACCAGCTTCAAAGGAAAGGGATCCCGATCCCCAACAGGTGCGCACTGTGTCTTTGTGAGAAGATATTGAACCCCCACTTGTTCATTCACTGTAGCCTAGCCCACGACCTATGGAGTCTTTTAATCCAGCTGTTTGGCCTCAAATGGATCACTCCACCCTCTGTCCCAACTGTCATCTCTTCGTCTCTCGTCTCTCATTTGCCAAAGGCCGGAAGAATTGTGTGAAAGGCTTCTATTGCAGCCACTATTTAGGTTATTTGGCAAGAAAGGAACTCTAGGATTTTTCAAGGCCACAAGAACGAAGTTCCAGCTCTCTTCCATAAGGTTACTTTCTTAGTAATCTTTTGGCCTCTAATCACAAGGCCTTTACTGGGATATCGGCTAACACTTTCCTTAGCCAATGGGAAAACATCCTTAAGCTCCAACCACATAGGGTATCAAGACCCAACAACTGGTTGCCACCACCAGAAGGCACCATCAAGCTTAACTTCGATGGATGCTCCCTGGGGAACCCTGGCCCAGCTGGAGCCGAAGGAGTTTACCAAGACCACTGCGGAAACGATCTAGCCACCTATTCCGAGCATTTAGGCCATGCATATTCTCAGTACGCTGAATCCATGGCTCTACTCTTGGGATTGAAAGATTCAACTTTTCTTGGGGATCAAAGTTGTTTGTCGAGGGGGATGCCCAAACTGGGCTGCTGGGAATTCACCACCTCCGTGGTACCTATCCTCTATATTTGATGAGATTGCTTACACTTGCAGGGATATGGCCATCTCCTGGAAGCATATCTGGAGGATGTTGAACGACTTCGCAGATCATCTAGCTAAGGATGGAGCTAGGGCTCAAGCATATGCCCCCGCATAATCGCGACTTTTTGGGTTGTTGTATTGTTCAAACTTTAGTCGATGGTCCATCTCCGTTTTTGCTCTGGACCATTGTGGGTGCATTGTATTTTGATTTTTCTTGTGTACATTGCTTGTAATGGGGCGAGTCTATAAGCCCCAATCTTGTAATCTGTAGATTGATTTTTCTGTGGGTGCTCTCGGGTCCCACTCTTGTTTCTTGATGCTCTTCCAATAATACAAATCGTTAACTTCACTCAAAAACATAAGTACATAACACAATTGTGCAAATCTTGGGCACAATAACTCTACACTTGGGCAATCTCAACATCACAAGATTTATGCTCCCCATCGATGCAGGGAGATTAGTTGGGAGGTGTGATCCCCTTTCGGAATCTCGTTCCAGCTATCCAGCAGGAGACAGAGCCCATCTCACTCCACCCAATATCAAGGGATCTCTATCCCTAACTATAAGGGATCTCGATCCTTATGGAAGGGGGATAGCAACCCCACTAAAAATGGGGCCCAAGTTGGTTGGAACCAAGGTATGCCTAGTCCCAGATGGTCCTGAAGCAAGGAAACATCCCATAACCATGTGGTTCTCATTGTAGTGAATCATCCTATCTTGCCCAAGTTCAATGTAGGGACTTGGGTGCTTACTGAGTTTAGTTCTTATCATGGCCCTATAATCTCTTCTTTCTCAATTTTTTAATGGCACTTCGGGCTATGGAGTTCTCATTGTGTATGTGTACAGAAAATCTTTCATATGGGTCATAAATTTATAAATTCAAATTTTTGGCTCACTTTAAAAAATAAACACACACACACACACACACCATAGAGAGAGAGAGCATTTATAAAATGCAACAACCTTACTTGTAGAAGTAAGGTTTCTAAGACCATTCGTTTTAGTTAGATGGTATATAATAATGCAACTATTGTTTTAAAAGGCGAACCGCCCAAAGCCTAGGCAGTCCAGAGGGCATGGGCCCCTCACTTAAGCCTAGGAAGCCAAAATAGGCGGCCTACCGCTAGCCTTCTAGGTGCTTGGGCACCCGCCTAGGTGGCCGCCCAGGGCCTACACCCCACCTTCCTGCCCCTCGTTGAGGAAAAAAGGTGGGTTTAAGGTTCATTTCAAACCTCAACTCCACTAGAGCCCATTTTAGAAAGAGAAGAACCTCAAAAAACTAAATGTTTATGATTTCCATGTGATTTCCCTAGATTTTAAGGGTTCTTTCTACTGAGCTGCCTAGGTTCTGGACACCCACCTAAGCGCTAGACGGCCTAGACCCCATGGCCATCTAGGCTCCACCCAGCATTTTTTGGAACATTGAATGCAACCTTCTACAAGGTTGCGACCTCATACAAACTTTCCTCTTCTACAGTAAACCAAATCAAAGAAGCACTATGGTATCAAACAAATATTATTTCGAGTAAAAGCTTACCTGCATCATCAAAGTAGCAACCAATTCCTGTTGCAGAGATTCCTACTGCATGAGCTTCCAAGTATAGCACTTGACCAATAATTCCAGACTCCCAAAACAGCCGTGGATACATCCAGACATTTTTTCCATGCAAAGCCTGCTCAAAATGAGCCACCATACCTAAGCTGAAACAACCATCTGAAGCAATATCCTGTATTGTTCGTAGAAAACATATCCAAATGTCAGAGGATTGGAAATGTAGATTCATCAGAAAATTAACTATGTATGTTTCAAAATTACATATTTGCTCACTAAAATCTACACAATCAAGAAAGCCTATTGCATAAGGTACCAAATCCATTGAGAACAGAAAGAGCCATCACAAACAACCCACAGGGCCATATTTCATATTCTGGGTAAAACCTTGTAAGGTCCAAGTAGCAAGAGGGGAAACCAGTTCCTTCTTTTAAAGGTCATTTGGTTTGTGTGTAAGTTATCTACTAAAGTGAGCTTGCACACATTGGACAGTCCGCCCATGGGAAAGCGGGTTCTAACCTCTTTAGGTACATCAGGGTTTTCCCAAAATATAACATTGCCAGAGTGCTTTTTGGCCTATGAACAAGACATGATAAGTGGTGTAACACCAAGAAAGTTCTTTCTGATCACTAGTCAAAGGGGGAGACAGTCAAATTCTACTGGTTTGACGAGTATATAATATATTTCCTTTGACATATGACATCGCAAAGGATAACAATCCAGAAGTTTTCACAACTCCATAACAGACTAAAGACTGGTTAACCATTTTAAGAAACAAGCAAAGCAACTTCATGATCAAGCTCGAGCAACAAAACAGACAAAATCGACATGCCATGAATCAATGGACATACAAAATAAGAAACCAAACAGAAACTTTTGTAATAATAACAATAAATGTAGCACATAAGGCAACAGCACTGGAGGTCATAGGTTTTGATATCAATTGTCAAAAATATTATTCGAAAGCAAGCTTTGGCTGCATAAGAAAAATCCAGATGTCCTAAGCAGGGAATGATAAAATTACACAGGGAAAAAGTGCATATGGTTCGCCATTTATGCTTTCATTTTATCAAAATCCAAAACCATTTAAGAACGAGAAACAAATGCTGCAATCACGTGCAAACAACAAGTCCAGTCCATATCAGACAGTAGGTAAGAGAAATATGCATAAAAAGTCAAAAATCCAAAAAAGATGGATAAAACCAGGGATGCAAAAAGAAAAAGAGAGGAAACCTGGTGACAAGAGATTATCTTGGCAAGCTCCCTGCAATCGGCCACAGCAAGCCTGTAGAGCGGCAAATCAGTGGGGCATCCCTCCGGCCTCACCCACTCAAACCCTGGCCTCATCGCTCTCTTAAGCTCCCCAGAATGCTCCTCATTCCTCACCATAAAATACAGACCAGGGACCAACCCTGCAACTCTATGCACCAAAATAGCAAGATGAAGCTGAGCCTTCCACGGGAGAACCCTAAAAGGCATAGCAAATTGCTCCCCTTGCTTCCCTTCACTGCAAGAACCAGAAGGAAGATAATGGAGAAGTATCTGATAGAATGCCTTCCTGTGCATGACATGAGACCTGCCCATGTCCACCGCGCTCCTTCTCTTCCTCACAACCTCTCCGATTGTCAATGCCTTGTAAGAATTTTCATTGAACAAAGGACTGCTCCTAAATGGGGGAACATGGAACCCTTCCTCTGTCCTCGGGGGCTTCTCAAGAAGGCGAGCCTTGGAGTAAATAATGTCCCAGTAAACATGCTCCTTGCTCAGAGAGTTAGGTTTACCTTTCCACTCAGAGGAGGCCGAAAGTTTAGAGATCGCAGAGGCCATAGATGCATAATTTGCAGAGAATTCAGGGGAAGATGCAGGGAATAGTAGTACGAGGCAATCGGGGTGTTCGTGCTCAAGTGCAGAGAAACAACCCTTGACCGGTCGGGAAGTTGTTGGAAGAGTTGGGTGATCAGGAAGGCCCATCAAAGCTCGAATATGGGATTGGCCAAGCCCATCAAGGAGGCGAGCGTCGCACCCGAGAGAGGCTGCAGCAATGACCAAGGCCGCAATTGCGTGACCGACATCGTGGTTGCAGTAACGAAATGCACGCTCCCCATACTTCCAAGCCTGGCGCCAGAAGATGGAGCTGAGGCCGACAAAGAAGGAGCCATTTGGGAGGCCTTCCCAAAGTCGAGAAGGAGCGTTGGCCCTGAGCTCGAGGGCGTGCTCTTTGGGGGCGTAATGAGCGACGAAATGAGAGGTTGGAGAGAGGTTAGAGAGGGGAGGAGAGAGAATGTAGGCTTCTGTGGGGTGGAGGTTGCCACTGCTGGGGTTGACGCGAAGAGACCAGGTGGAGAAGCCAGTGGTTTTCCAGGCAGAGAGGGCGAGGGAGTTGAAAAGGAAGAGAGAGAGGAAGAAGAGAGAGAGGAGGGAAGGAAGGGGAAGGTTGCGGAATAGAGATGGGTAGTGAGGGAGTTGGAGTTGGGTTTGGTTGTGGGGGTGGAGGAGGGGAGCGGAGATGTAGCGACGAAAGGGGTTGGGTTGGTTGGCCCAGTCGAGGCCATGAGGGCCACTGGCGTATCTAGAGAGAGAGTGCTTTGTTTGGTTGTGGTATTTCTTAACCAATTCCACACCATTTTTATCATCATCGCTGCTGCTGCTGCTGCTGAGGAGAGACGACGAGGATGATTCTGGTGATGGGCGCGGAGGGGACATGGTGCTCCAACAACAACAACAACTACTGCGGCTGCCTCTTCCTCTTCCTCTTCCTACTGCTGTGCTCGGCGGCGGGACGAAAAGGTGGAGGTGGAAGGAAGATTTGGGGGTGGGATGAGGGGAGGAGAGGAGGGAGCGAGAAACTGGCATCAGCGTCATTCAAAACGTTACTTCCATATCCCTACTGTGCTCTTGTTTTTCCTCCATCAATCGCGACAGGGCAGGGGGCGGAGGCGGACGCGGAGGCGGAGGCGGAGGTTTGGAGTTTGGAAAAAGCACATATACAGTCGAATTATCATAAAGAATTTCACTCGACGATAGTATTTTGATACTCAAATATCTTCAAATCGATCGTCTCGACATCAAAATGTATCTGGTTAGAAAAAAAATAGATTTTAAATTTTAAAAAAAAATAAATTTTAAATTTAAAAAAAAAAGAAATTGAGTTTTAAATTTTTAAAAATAGTTCTTGTAAAACATTTTTTTATTATTAATTTTCAAGGTTTTCAAGTTTTTATAGATCAGCTTGTCCTACATTAATTTTTAAACTTTAAATTTTATAATCAAATATTAAAATTTATTTTAACGCTATCATAAAGATTTCCAGTATTGAAACCACATTCTCCACAATATTTGAAGTTGCATTTTACGTTGATTGTTTAGAGCCTCGGGTCTATACAAATCGCATCCCTTAGGTTTTAACTAAATGGAAAATTTATACGATGTCCTAAACAATTTTTTTTGGTAAATTAGTAGGAGAGAACAATTTTTTTTTGGTAAATTAGTAGGAGAGAAGGCTCCCTACCGTCTTTTATTAATAAAAAGAAAGGCAAAATACAGCTCATAGCTTTATAACCCTAACCCTACTATACAAAACTAGTGCAACATTAAGAATTGAGAAGTAAATGAAGGCAAAAAAATCTGGCAGTCTTGCATGCCAAATGGTGGCAATAGAGAAAGTCATGGCTTTTCTTGACATAAGTGTGAGCTACCATATTGTCCTTATAAAAGATATGTGAAAAAGACCACGCAAGGTAAGTGAGCTTATGTCGATAGTTGGCGGCTATAATGTGAAGCAACCATGAGGCCTTATATTGGCCATGAATACCATCAACCAACAGGGACGAGTCACTCTCAATCTGTAGTACGAAATAGTCAAGTTGTATGGTTAGGTCCACACGTGTTTGCGGGGCACAGTATTCCGCATAATTATTAGATGCTTGAACAAGGGGATGCGCAAAAGCTACAACAACAGATCCATCATCACCCTTGATAACTCCACCTCTGCCTACGAGGCCTGGTTTATGGAGAGAAACACCATCGACATTAAGCTTGAAGTGATGTAAGAAAGGGACGAACCATACGATCAAGGTATATGTTTTGATTTGATGTTGACGCCATATAATATGAAGGTTGTCTGTAATGGCCTTATCTGATAAATAGAAAAAACCATGACTTGGCATCTGCAAGTCCCAACCTTAACGAAGGTGCACCTCAAACATATATTAAAAAGAGTGTTTTGAACTTTAAATACCTTCTTATTGAACATTGCAATCTAAAAAATCGTATGGATATCAAGATAGATAATAATTTAAAGTTCTAAAAATATTATATCTTATAACAAGTAAACAAGAGCATATTGGTAGAGTGGGCGGCTAGGCACGGGCAAGAGAATGCACGCGGGTGGGATGCAGTTAGAGCACACGCACGGGTAGACAAGTCCACGAAGAGCGCTAGCGGAGGTGAGCACACATTTGGGCTCGAATGATCGAACGCGCAGTTAGGCGCAAGTGAACCGACGCGCTGTTGAGCGCGGGGTGGATGAGTGCACGTGTAGAAAGCACGATTGGATAAATGCATCATTAGGCTCAGCGAGCACATGGTTGAGCACGTACAGATGTGGCGCTGAGATCGGATGGATGAGCGCGTGAGTGGCTGCACGCGTGTTTAGGGCGCGGGCGCACCGTTGGGCGCAGGTGGTGTATGGTCTAGGGAGCTCCTTCTCTCTCATGTTCACTCTCTCTCCATGCATGTGTGTCATGAGCACATGCATGTTGTACCCACAATCATGATGTCTCCCATGCCTGCTCGCTCTCTTCTAACTTGCCACTTGTCAATTGCATGCTTCTATCTCATGATGATGTCTCTCATGTTTGCCATTCTCTCTCTCCCCGTTCATGTCCTCTTGTATGCCATGTGGCAATTGCATGTTGCCACCACCTAAGCTTACCTATACCCCCTTCTCACACATCCCATGGGTTTGTTCTCTCTCTACTCACTGCCCTCTCTCACTCCGTTCTTCCCCTCTTACCTTAAGACTTTGAGCTTCGAGACTTCTCATAGCCTTAAGCCCTTGAGTTTGAACCCAATCTTGTGGAGCTTGGCAGTTGAGGTGAAAGTTGTGGAGAATTTTGGAGTTTCATTTAGTGCAAAGTAAGTGGATATGGTTTCCATGTTTTCATGTTTTTGATTGATGCATGTTTCTTTAGATTATCAGAGTATGAAATTTAAGTATGAGTACGGGTGTGAAAATGGTTACTAAAATCCAGCTAGAGTGTACTCTGTTTTCCAGAACTGTGGCTCCGGTTTGAGAAATTATATGAGAATCCTATATATCTCCATAGATCATGAAATTTTATGAAAACGTAGCTCATTGAGTCTATTTTATCATGAAAAAGACCTCTTGTTAATATCCCTTACGGTTTAAAAGTTATTTACCATTTTCTGAAGCATATCAGATTTGATAAATGAAATTCCAAGGATTTTACGTATCTTTGTGTTGAGTTTTTTACTAACCAAAATATATCATATTGAGGCTAAACCACTTCTAAATGAAATATGAGTGAGTCTACTTCAAAAATAATTTTGGAATCATGATAAAATTCTCGGTAGTTTGGAATATATGCCTATTTTTCTATAAGAGTGTCACACTAGAATTTCTGCTATGATTTTTCAGAACAGTTATGTGTTTTGTATAGAACTTTTTACTAACCAAAATATATCAGATTGAGGCCAAACCACTTCTAATTAAAATATGACTGAGTCTACTTCAAAAATGGTTTAGGAATCATGATAAAATTCTTTGTAATTTGGAAGTTATGCTTATTTTTTTATGAGAGTGTCACACTAAAATTTCTGCTGTGATTTTTAAGAACTGTTTTGTGTTTTTGTATAGAACTATTCATTTACCAAAATATATCAAATTGAGGCCAAACTACTTCTAATTGAAATATGAGTAAGTCTCATAGATAAATACGCATAACTTCCAAACTATTTCCAGCAAAACAATGTAGTGATATCTATAACACCGCTATATAGTATGATGTGAACATGAAATGAATGCATTCCCTGTCATGAAATGAATGCATAGGCTTAGTTATGATATGAATGTATAATAATAAACTATGTTATGTTATGATGTGAATATATGTAGTAAGTGATGCTCAGTTATGATATGCATGCATAATATTAAAATAAGTTCTATTATGATGTGAATGCATGTAGTAAGACATGCTCAGTTATGATATGAATGCATGATATTTAAATAAGTTCTGTTATGATGTGAATGCAAGTAGTAAGACATGCTCAGTTATGATATGAATGCATGATATTGAAATAAGTTCTGTTATGATGTGAATGCATGTAATAAGACATGCTCAATTATGATATGAATACATAATATTGAAATAAGTCTTGTTATGATCTAAATGCATATAGTAAGACATGCTCAATTATGATATGAATGCATAATATTGAAATAAGTTATTTTATGACGTGAATGCATGTAGTAAGACATGCTCAGTTATGATATGAATGCATAATATTGAAATAAGTTCTGTTATGATGTGAATACATGTAGTAAGATATGCTTAGTTATGATATGAATGCAAAATATTGATATATGCTATGATATGAAGTGAATGCATGTAGTAAGACATGTTCAGTTACGATATGAATGCAAGATAATGATATAAGCTTTGTTGTGATAAAAACACATGTAGTAAGACATGTTCTGTTATGACATGATATGCACATGCACTGATACCATAAACTGTCACAGTCTTGCCTCCTACCCCCTACCGCACCCACCGGAGAGCAACAGGGTACGAGACTGTGACCAGAGGTAGCGAGTACCACTCAGGTGGGAGTGCACATGCTTTGATACCATAGCACCTCATTTTGTACGTTACTTAAGCAATGAATCTGCACTTCTTGATCATGCCTTAGTGTGTACACCTTCTTGGGGGACTCTCTAGTGCCTGATTTAGAGCTTAGGTACTGTGTGATACGATTGGGAGGTAGAGTCTTAACCATAAATTTGATTCTTTTGGATGACTAGGATTTTAGCACCCTCCTGAGGCATGGGTTGGTCGTATGCTCATCATGCCTCAGTAGATTGTTTGGAGAAGAGTGTCATTTTCATACCCCCATTTATTTGATTCTCAAGTAATGATTTTGAGAACAAAGTCCGTTTTAAAGGGGGATGATGTAAGGACCCGAAATTTTTCAAAAGTAATGGTAGAATGTGCGGTTAGGCACAGGTAGGCAAATGCGCGCAGGTGGGATGCAGTTAGAGCGTAGCGCGGGTAGACAAGTCGGTGAAGAGCGTGGACGGAGATGAGCACGCATTTGGGCCCGAATGTTTGAACGCGCAGTTAGGGGCGGGTTAACCGATGCTCTCTTGAGCGCGGGTGGATGAGTGCACGTGTATAGAGAGCGATTGGTTAAATGCCTTTGAGTGCAGCGAGCGTGCGGTTGAGAGCGTGCAAATGTGGCGCTAAGCGCAGAAGTATGAGCACACGGGTGGCTGGATGCAAGTTGAGGGCACGAGCCAATGAGCGTGACGCTTGTGGTGTATGGTAGTCAGGGAACTCCTTCTCTCTCTTGTTCTCTCTCTCTCCATGCATGTGTGTCATGTGGCACATTCATGCTGCACTCACAATCATGATGTCTCCCATGCTTGCTTGTTCTCTCTCCTCTTGCTTGCCACTTGTTAATTGCATGCTTCCATCCCATGATGATGTCTCTCATACATCCCCTTCTCTCTCTCCTCATGCATGCCCTCTTGGATGCCATGTGGCAATTGCATGTTGTCACCACCCAAGCTAACCAATACCCCCATCTCACCCTTCCCTTGCGTTTGCTCTCTCTCTCTACTCACTGCCCTCTCTCACCCATGCTCTCACCCTCTTGCTTTAAGACTTTGAGCTTTGAGGCCTCTCCCAGCCTTAAGCCCTTGAGTTTGAATCCAATCTTGTGGAGCTTGGTAGTTGAGGTGAAACTTGTGCAGAACTTTGGAATTTCATTTGGTGCAAAGTAAGCGCATCTGGTGT